TTTATCATTAACCACACTGTGTTATGTTGTTTGACAATCCTTGTACAGGGGTCTTGCCATTAACCACACAGTGTGATTCTGTTTGACAATCTCTGTACAGGGTGTCTTGTCATTAACCACACTGTGTTATGTTGTTTGATAATCTCTGTACAGGATGTCTTGTCATTAACCACACTGTGTTATGTTGTTTGACAATCTGTACAGGGGATGAGGATGATGATGATGATGATGAGGAGGAGGAGGAGGAGGAGGAGGAGGAGGCGGACGATGGACAGATGGATGGAATCATTCTGATTTAGGAAACATAAGACAACGATTGTGTCGATTTTATATCTCCTTGATACCACAACGCTAGAGGACAACATGCTTTTGAAATAGTTATTGTTTGAATCGTAAGAGTTGTGCAAGGTTCTTGTAAGTAGCCTTTTTACACTTCGTCGGTGTCCTGAACAAGGATATCATCCGATGCCGGACGCGAATAAACAGACCGACATAAGTCAATTTTAGGTCTGTCAACAATTGTTAATAGGGTTTGTGGTGTGTAACTTCCTGTTTCATGTGGAACAGTACATCGCCATATCCTTTCTGAATCCTCAGATTTGGGAGTATGGAGGCATACTGCTTCCGTCCGCTTCAACACTCCTACGTGTCTGTTGTTACCATCGCAGGATTTGCAATATATCAATCTAGTACTTTTACAAAACTACGGACTTAAATATACAAGTCCGTGACAAAACTAAGGTTGGGAACACATTTCTATCGCTAAGTAAAACAATTATTGATAGGAGTCATGACGTCATGCGACTTCTGTGATACACACACTGACACAAGAGTAACGAATATTAAAGCCCCAATATACGTAACATTTACCAAAAATTCAGTGTAGAATCACACATAATTATTGAGATATTCTCTAAGATGTAGTTAAAATTAAGTTATTCAAACAATAGTTACCATGACTTTGTGCATAAAGTATCGATATATGAGCAGTTGAAACTCGCTATTTGTAAACACACCTCCATTTTAAACACGCCGCCATCGAAATTACGATTGTTGCCGAACCACGTCGGAAAGTTCATGACCTGATCTCGCGAGAGTTGAGGTTTCTACTTATAGAGGAAGCACATGCAGATATGTCTACGGTAAGTTTTTGTTTACAAACATTGTTTGCGAAGTCTTGAGGTATTCCTGTGATAAATATTTAGTTTTTGGGAAATTATTAGAAGGAATAATTAGTTTAGAAACGATACGACGCACAATTATAACGTAAGAATTCAAAATTGGCCTGATGTATGATTGGAAAAAAAGGAAGCGACTGGTGAACGTCTGTACTGTGTCTGCCATGTTTACACACGCGGAATATGCGCATGCGCAATGTCATCGCTACGAGCGGTAATGTATGAATTATTGTGGGTCTGACATTGTTTATCTTCCGATTTTTTCAATTTTTATTTAAATTGAAAACAGTCAGTTTTATTTTCTTTAATCAAAGGAAAGTACCTGTTTTGTTACATATATTACGTGGAAAATAAGATAAAGTTTTTTTTGTGATTTTTACGTATATTTGGGCTTTAAGAGAATAAAAAAAATAGCACGACAGAAATGCAACATCGGGTGTACGATATCTCGAAGTTTACATTTGCATAGTTTTAATTGTCAAGTTTATGTGAACGACGCCAGCATTACCCCGTTAGTGAAGCATTAGTTAGCTTATAGTAAAGAATTAAATTTCAATTTCTTTTATACAGTAAAATGACACGGAAAAACGACAACAAAACTTCTCCATGGTTCCAATGAAAAATAACTGAAAACAATTAACGACCGAACTATATTCTAACATCCTTTTGTTATCTACTTAACTAACCAAGAAAATACCGACATGTTCATAATTCAAACAAATTCGAGGAAACTTCTGAAAACAAAGAACAGAAAGATTTATAATAGGGCTACACAAAGAGAACAATACCGGGTATTCCAGAAGTTTGAGTTTTTGAACTTTCCACATTCGTCACGCAACAATTCCAGAACTGTCGATGAGGTCTATCGGTTTACATATTCCTTTTGAATTTCCAGAACAATTATCGATAATCTTATCCACCAAAAGAGATATCACTTGTAATTTCAAAGGATTATGCAAAGGACACACAAAAATTAGCTCTGAAGAAGAGCCAAATAAATCCAACTGCATCGAGGAAGTGTGTAGTCGAAACAACAATAACTGCTGGAGTTGCTTTGTATAAACTACATAATTAACAAGTCAGTTGAAGACATTTTTTTGATGCCTGTTCTAGAGATTCAACGAAAATAGACGGGAAAAACGTTTTCTACAAAAGGGCTGGTCAAATATCCCGGATAGAAACGTATTTCGACAAATATTGTTACTCGTGAGATAAAATTGTAACAGTCTTTGCTTGTGTTACACAATGCAAGTTGTAGAAACCGTAATGTCATTGCCATTGTCATTAATTAAAGTATCAAATAAAAAAAGATTCATTATGGTAGTAATCTGTTCGCAAATAAATAAATAAACAAATATTTGGTTTCTTCATTTTCATACTGTTTTAACTGTATCGTTTATCATGGAATATTTAGGATCAATTGACCGAATACTAGTGTAGGATAATTAGATATATAATGTCACAAAGCTGAAATAAATTTTATAACTGATAGATATTAATACACAAAATGTAAAGATACTGTGTGTCGTTTCTACATGTTTTATTTCAGATCGATATTGATCAGCTGGTTTTTGTTTCAATCATAGTTTCTTATTTTTTTTTATCTGAAAAATCTGATGCCTTTCTTTTTATGCTTTTAACTTGTGTGATTACATTCTCGGGGTGTTTACCGGGAAAGTATGAGAATGATGTTGAGAAATTGATGTAATCATCTTGTTTACGCTATATCTGATGATTAATAATGAACTCATAAACCATTCCCCGTTACATTAATATAAGATCCTCCTGAATACCCGCCCAACCCCAAACCATCACCCAATGCTTCGCTTGGAAAAAAAGGTCACGCCACAACTGATAATGTATTTCCAGCGCAATGGTTTCGGTATAAAATTTTCGCTAATTTGATGCAATTGGTGTTTAGCGCCAGTTATAAGTTACACATTACACTTTAAATTTCGGCTAATATAAATACGTTTTAATTGTTTTCTTACCATATCGGCGATGATGTCAACATTAAAATGAAATAAAACCGTTTTATCACCCTGTCCATGTCCGGAAAACATACGCAAATCATTGTCTTTGGCAGTCAAATAGGATTAAACTTGAAGACCCAACTATATCGATTATTATACAAAAGACACACAAGTGAAAAGTATTTTTCAAAAGAAAATTCAAGATGGATACAATACATTCAAATAGATGTAATGAACTTAACTGTATCACACAGTTGTTTTGTCCTCCTAGAGGTGTAAATTGTTGATATCTGTAATGTTAGCAATTAAATATTCATTTAGGTAAATGTTAAAATATTGATAGGGAGGTACACATACCCTATAATTTGATAAATTTTGCGATTTTCTATATAGGATAATTTCAGTGGAATGTCGATTAAAATGATTGTACGCGCATCTGTTGGGGTTTTACGATATAGAGAATACATGCTCAGTGTATTAAGACATAAGCTGTATTTTGTCGAGCGCAAAGAAAGACAAAAGTAGTCAGTTTCTGGTGAACCACTTTTATCTTTCTGTCCCGATGTATTACATTCATCTTGCAATATTGATTGAAAATCAGACCATCAAAAATTCAACAGTTTTGTTGTTCAATCTTTGTTTACCTGACATTACGCTGGATTTCCTAGATGACATGCGCCAAAATAATTGCTCCGCGCGGAATTCAAACTTAAATCGATATGACAGCAATTATATGAATTTTCGTTAATAAACATGTTCATTATAACATATAAAATACGCTTATTTTGACATTTGTAGTATTTTTAAACGTAACATTTAAGTAAATTAAGAAAAAAAAAAAAGAATACAGCCGTTTTCCGTCACTGCCGAACACAGCAAAAATAGAAGTTTTAGGGGTATTCTGACAATGGAAATGTCAGTTGCAGGATAAAAAAGCAACAACAACAACAACAACAACAGAAAATAAAATGTGACCATGTCGTATCCTTCTTCGATGTAAGTATGCATGTAGGATTGACGTCTTTCGGAGGAAAACATGACTTAACTGCTTTGTCTTTCCAGCTCATTGAATCATACATTGCCTTATATTGTAGTAATCTCTGAGAAATAGCATTAAGTAACTGCCAAATCTAAATCAAATTAGGATTTATTGGTTAAATGTCTTGCAATGAAATGTCAAGGAGGTAATAAACGATACCGGAAATATACATCTCTGATTTGAAAAAAAATGCATTTGGTGTGTTGACATATCATTTCTTAAAAGTAATATACGTAAAGCCGAATTAAAGTTTTGAAATGAATAAAGAAAATAACATAGTGAACAGACGAACAGCCAGTGAATTGTATGATTTTAATTGATGTTAATTGATCAGCGGGCACCTGCTCCCTGTTTCTTAATTCTATCGCCATTGTGCAGGAAATCATGAGTATCATCTATTTACAAAACATTAATATTATCATTATCATATTATTTTGGCATGGTAAATGGCATGTCAAATTACTTTACAAATACAGACACAGATTCATTAAAAATTCTGTGATTTGTCTGTCATGCATAATGCAAGTCTGATGTCATCCTTACAACAGCCAACATCCGGTTTTTCAACCTCCCCAGACATACTGATATTCATATCCATTTCGAGTAATCATTTTCTACAGTGATATATATATTTGAAATAAAATAACCGATAAAGGAATTTTCACGAACAACAAAATTAAATAAAAAGGAGAAACTTTAAGTGTAATGAGTAAACACAGTAATTGGTTTTTAATTTGATAGTGGTAGGTACGCAAGATGGAACAGCCAAGGGGAGCTAATTATAGAAAAAATTAGCCTTGGGTCTCAAAATTCGGGAAAGCCTTGTTATTTTGTGATCTGGGTCAGTAAAATTCGGCGGGGCTGAACCAGGGATTACGTGTATGTTTCGAAGATTCTGTTCAGGTAGGATAACAGGATTTGATTTACACATACGAAGGTAAAATGCAGTTTGTAAGGGAGAAATAACCGGTACTTTGTACAGATAATGCAAGTAGCCGGCGCTGGTGCATCTTCATCGATACCGGTAGACTACACCTTGGTGAAGCGATGAAAAATGGTGCGCAAGAATTTGTTTGCGAGCTTTTGTATTCGTAAAATATCATGCATTACAGTGTTGACATCATTTATTGTATGTGTTGCAACATGTGGCATTTTGTAATTACATATATTGATTAGTCTGTGGAATTGTATTGGCATGTGAAATGACGGGAAGCTCTGAAGCGTCGCCATCTTGCTCACCGCAAGGTCGTTATACATTAACTCTGAGTCCGTTCTACGCTTTCATTTCCAAGCTAGTTATTGGGAATTTAGTTTTTCTATTTTACTTGTTTAATATAAGTTTTGTTTTGTCATCGTTATTCGATATTGGTGAGGTTATTTGAAAATGGCACAGTTTGATTGATGGTAAACTGCACGCAGATCAATTCTAATAATCCCAATACTTTATAGAGTCTTGTGTAAATATGCATATAATATGCTTATAGTAGGCATATGAATCGAAATGCAACGGTCACTATACATTTTTATTGGGGAAAAATGCATTTAATAGTCCAGAAAAGTCCATGTTCTTAGATAATTCGGTCAACGACCAAGATAACATTTTTGTCAGTACTACATGCATGGTCTAGGTCTAGTCACACTATTTTGAATAAAACGTTCCTCAAATGAAAGACTCCTTCGTTGAAGTTTCAGGTGTATGATAACATAATATGTGCATCTTATCTCAAAAGCCCTAAAAACTAGTTGATTCAGGTGATCAGCATTTTTTCCATTTAAATTCTCAAATGCTGAGTTTTGAGTTCAGTCAAGTATGTAAATATAGCTAAGGATTAGATTCAAATAATTGAACACAAGCCCTCTGATGTTTCAGTAAATATTTATATGAAGTGTGACTAGCAGTTGGTGTAAATTGAAATATTTAAAAACAAAATCTGACTGGTTACATTTGCAGTGCTTTGCAATAAGCATTTTTTATTTGATGTTGTGTATACACTCACTCAGCATTGGAAATACATATGTATATGTGAATGAATAACTATCCACGCCCTGGCATGATGATCAGAGGGCAACATATTGCTTTGGCTTTTAAAGATCACAACAAGATTGTGATACACATCACAGGAATTGCCCATGAATCTGGGCCACACTCCTGCTGTAGAAGGCCTAACCTGTGTATCAGGGGTCTCTGACTGTAGTGGTATGTATAGTAATATTGACTTGTGGAAAAGTCGTTAAGATTCAAGATTTGAAGAGTGTCTGAGTGGTGGTTTGATAATACATCCAACATACCACACCCCAGCTTCCCATTGTAATCTGTAGCATGGTGCTTACATTCCTGTGAGGAGAAACCTCAAGTCTTATCTCTGGTTTCCTGTACTGCACACTCATACACACATGTTCAGACTAACAGCTGAATATATATATATTTTTTTTATTCAAGGCCATTGGCACAAGTTTATTATGTTTGTAGTGATTTACATCTTAAATTAGCAATTTCCAAATTATTGTTCAAGGCCAAGCTGAAAAAAGTTTCCGTTGCTTGAAATATAAGTGTTATATATATGTACTAATCTTTGATAATTTGACATATGGGGTAAAAGATGAAAGACTAAAGGTTGTACCTAAATTAATTTGGTCTGAAAGTGTTATTCTATAATATATCTCTTTTAAGTTAATACCCTTTTTGTTGGAGTTGATAGACTTCATTTTGTTTCTTTTACAAACCAACATTTGACATGATCATATCATCACGGTTTTTTATCTTTCTACTCCGTTCATCAACAAAATTCATTGAGAAAATTGGTTATTCATCACTTTCAGTCATTACAGTGAAAATCATTAAAAAAAAATTCGGTTTCACTTCTTTTGTTACTTGTAGAATATATTTCTTGGAGGGTGATTCACATAGAAAATCCATCTGTACTGAAAGTCCAGTAAATGCCAGTTTCTGTTGGGTATCTCTAGGGATACAGTGCTGCTGATTGATATTACTGGACTGTGGGAGATATTAAGTACAGTTTCCCTGTTATCTTAGAGAAGGATGCTCAGGTTTCAGTGCTGTTGGTTGGGGGGTCAGCAGGAGTCTATCAGGAATGTTATCTTATGCATGTACTTGTACTGGTAGCTGCTGCTTACAACATCACATCAGCTGTCATCAACACTATACTATCGCCCTGACATTTGTGAATTCATCTCTACAGCACATTAAAAGTAACATTCATTTGATATTTCTATGACTTTGACCAGTGATTTGATGTTTTTTTCCAGCAAAATATTAATATTATGCATTACAAAAATTCCAATGGCCCATAGTATTCATTCCTAAGCAAGTTCTAAGAAAGAGAGTATTTTAGGTTAAAGTTACAAAAGAAAGAAATATAACTGCATGGAAAATGCATTAACTTTCTAAGAAGGTTAAACATACAGTCTGCCAATTATGTGATAAATCGGCTAAATCAAAAAGTCTATCCGATTTAAACCATTAAAGGATTTTCCAACACTAATATTGATGTACCCTTCCAGTAGCTGTATAGTTACTGTCTCGATGCTGGTAACAGCAAAATTTTGGTGATTATAATTGGATGATGGCTATTGGAATCAAACTTGCATTGTTTCCGTTTGTCTGTGGTCAATGATGAGGCTTGTTGTGATAATAACAAAAGTATGTGTACAAGGCATTGCTCAATGTTGATATGTGATGTTTCTGAAGAAAGTGCTTTTAAGTCAAGAGCTGTGGCCATAATAATGATAAAAAGACAGGTGTTCGTAATGTTAATGGACCTGGGGTTTTGATGTGGAATGTATTAAATGAAAATATGTTTATAAAATAGAAAATAAGATTACTAGAGCTCAAAAGTTAAGGTATTGTTGGAAAAGTTAACCAGACATTTGCTTCCCCAATTACTGTCATCACACTGTAAAGACTGGCAAGTATTACTGATACATTTATCAGCCAATGTGCTAGAGAAACAGAGGAAATTCATAATCTTTGTATACAAGGCTATTGATGTGTGGATAGTGTTGCTAGCTTCAGTTTGCTATTGTACATACTTTGTAGGTTATTTTTATCTTTTCTTCAAAGTTTGCTTCATAAATTCATTAAGTAAAGAAGTTTCCTTTTTCCTGGTACTAAAATTATAAAATTCATGTTAGAGCAATATTGGTTTTATTAATGAGTAACAACAACAGAAACACTTATATAGGTAGGTCAGCAGTCATATTGATATTGGATTTGAATTGAGCTTAAAATATCTATTTATAAATATCCAAGATTAATTGGATTAAATTTATGTTATTTTAATCACACACAATATGTGTTATGTTAATTGTATGTTAATGTTAACTATATACAATGGTTCTCTATCAGATAATGTAATGGAATCAGTGAGTTAAGTTGATATAGAAATTTTGAAGCTGAATTATATACTGATTATTAGCAGGTTATGATAGGACTTCTGTCACAGGAAGTTATTATTGTCAGGGTATAACTTTGTTGATGACCAACCCCAAGCAGGTTCACATTTTATAGACATTGTGAGGGTTTTCTATTCATTTTGTTCCGACTCCTGATGTCTTTTGTCATTCAGGCTTCACCTACAACTGACCGGCAGGTATTTGATAATTGGACATTGGTCAATGATAGCAAAACTAGTTGTTGTAATGGTCAGCCCCCTAGGATAGTTGTAATTCGCTTCTTGCTATGTTTGCAGTCAGACACATTATAATTTGTAATTCTTGTGGGATTGGATGACAATGACTGTGTATGGTAATGTTTCTATAATGGATTTGTCAGGGTGTTGAAAGACTTGGACAGGCCTGATATTTATGTACCTGTTGTAGTAGACTAAATCTGTGTACATGGAGTTGATCCGCGACAATTTAAATGTCCTCAGGTACACATGTATAACAGTTGTTGCTAATATTACATAAATTTATATATTCAACTGTAACAATATAGGAACAAGTTTAATGCGGGATCAGATTTACTAGCTCAGACTCAAGATTTTCACAGCGAAATATATTAAATTTGTCAATCATTCTGATGGTTTGGCCTGAGCTCAATAATAGACTGTTTAGAATTAGGTTTTGATGACCATGCTGTACTGTATATACTGATCCCACTTACAAGACTAATATCATATCAAATTCCATCTCTGTTTACTTATGGATTGCCACCTCATTGTGTTTATGAATACTACTTAATTGTTAATTGTGGTCAGTTGATTCAATAGATTTTTGGCCGTATAGTTTACCACACATGGAAGTCTTACAATAATAGGGTGTTCATTTATAGGAAGAACAATAAGATGTAGAGTTGTATATGTTGGTATGTAGATAGAAATATAGATTTATTTTGGTCTGCCTAATTCATAACTTCCCGTAAGGTGAAGTAGCAACAAAGTGACAATCTGAGTCCATTGTGTTTCAACTGAAAGCCTTTGTTTGTACAGATCAATAAATATATTAGTTATGGCTACCATTAATTGAACAGCATGATCTGATTTAGTTATATGAAATTATTTTGTATAATAAGTAAGTAGATACTCTGTACTGTTGTTAATGTATAGGAGAGTACAGTAATGTCAGAAAAGTGATAAAATTCATTACTATTTTCAATTGTGGAATATTACAAACAAAAATTCCTACGAACAGCAATAGTGATGCCATGTGACTAGAAGTGTACTAGTCATGTGGGCTTCCAACACTTCCAACGTTTGTGCATCTCCCTGACTGCAAGGATGTGGCCAGTTTGGCCAGTATCTGAGATTGTTATACAAACCCACAGGGAACTATTGGGATATATATTCCTAACAAATCAATACCCAGATATCCCAACAGGGCATGGTTTATACAAGGAACAGCAGTATACAGTTTTCCCAATTTTTCAAATGAGTATTTTTCGG